AGGTAAACGTACCTTTTGCCATACGTAGCGATCGGTTTTCCGTTTGCCGCCTGTAAGTTTAGGGTCGATTCGTGAAGTCGGTCGTTAGGATTCGCTGGGAGAACGCTAACTTCTGCGCCAGTGTCGACGAGGTAGCGAACTCTCGTTGTCACATCCGTGACGTATAACAAACGGCTATGTTCGCCGGCTACGGTTGCCGTTAACGCGTGCTGGCTTCGAAGTTTCCCGAATTGTTTTTCGAATCAGTCGGTTTCGTGTTGGGAAAATTGCAGGGTTTTCCGCAATGTCTGGAAAGCTTTCCATACTGGTTATGATACCAGCTCCAGTCGGGGTTATCTGTCTCTCGTGATCTAGAGACAGATCACTTACGAGAAATGCTTCTACGTGGTGTGCGCGATCTCTTACGGTCGGTACGAAGACTAAGATAACGCGTGAGTGTGTGACATAAGTCGTTTATATCATTCTGAGTCGTTTGAGGTTTTTCTTTGACTGAAAATACCTCGGTAGTAGATTTCGTAATTTCTAAAATGCGGTCGGCAGATGCAGCTAGCTCGTCTAAGGCGTTGTTCTGGAACGAGACCAGAACTGCTTGCACCTGTTGGGGAAGTTTTGACAAGAAGAGTTGTTTGAATAGACCTTCGTCGAAAGTTCTTGGGCCTATTACCTCTCTCATCCGTTGCAACATGTCCGTCGCAGAACCGTGTTGCAGGTCGATATTGTTGAAAGTTGATCTAACCTTTGTCGATCGGTTAGGTCTCCTCGTTTAAGAATCGAGCGTTTTAAGATTTCGTAAGGATTGGAAACATCACTAGTAAACATACTAGGTTTTACGTACCTGTTGAATTCGCGCGGTAGTGCCTTGACTACTGCGAGGAATTGTGCACGTGTGTCGATCACGCCGTGCTCGTAGAAGTCGGCTTCTGCGTAGCAAAACCAGGCTTCGATGTTGTCGGGCCAGAAAGGCATCAGTTGAAACGAAGGTGGGGACAAGGTCTTAAGCTTGAGTACTTTAGGCGTCTGTTCAGTCATGATGAAATATGAAGTACGCTAATGAACGAGGGGAAAATATATGTATCCAAGAGAAAATACGAAAAAAAATCACAATGTTTAAAAAAATAAAAAAATAAGGCAATGATATATAATAATCCCAAAAAGGAACAGACTCACAGTTGCGAATAGGTGTACCAGATCACGTCGGTTTCACCAATGATGATGTCACAGGTATTCAGTGTTTGACAACGCTTCTACCAGTAACACCTTCTAATATATTTCGTTCCCGCCCAGAGAAATCAAAAGACAGAGTCGAGGAGATCGGAAGAGTATATTTGGCGATGACTAATATATCGGAATTCTCTGATCTAATCTGGCTAGCGATTGCGGTTGATGTTGAGCACGGCGTTACCACACGTGATCTGGTGCGGATGCAAGACCGAGCGCCTTCAGCTAGATGAGTCCACTAAAACATATGGTCAGCATCCAATGTCGAAAACTTAGGGCTATTTATTTTGGGGATTTATTTACCGCTACAATGGTACAAGATCTATCTGACCTATCTTATGATAACAGACTGAGACACCTCAACTTATTTCCGTTATCTTACCGTAGAATACGGGGTGATCTAATATTGGGAGATCGTATACCGAACGATGACCTTGGTATTACTATGTCTTATCTTTCACTTTTGTCCAGGACTGATCATTTGAGAGGACATTCGAAGAAAGTTCAAAAACCGAGATCAAATCGTTTACGTCTGGAGTTTTGCTTCTCGCAGTTACAGTCATTTAATGACAAATATACACACAGCGAAAGATTGACAAAATAAATACAAATAATATTAAAAACTATTTACAAAATAAGCTTGTCAGGCCTATCTCCACACGAGTAGTGAATTAATGGAATTCTCTACCGGAACACGTAATATCAGCACCTTCTGTTGATATATTCAAAACGAGATTGGACCTCCAATGTATTACAAACTGCAAGGATTAATATGGGTCGATAGACCTCCTATCCTTATTACTGAAGACTGAAACTCAATTGCATGTGAGGTGTCATAACCCAAAGCAGAGATGACCATTCCTTCATTTGACTCATTCAAGAGAAGACTGGCCACTCACAGAAACACGCTAGGACAGGATTAACATAGGCCGTAGACTTTTTGTCATCAGTACACAAATCTAATCACAATCTGAAATCTATTGGATATTAGAAACTTATAGCGTACTTATCAAACCAATGCGTTGTAACTCGTTGGTAAACTTTCTCGTCAATTCTTTTCAATGACTAGCTTTTCTTAATCTAATGGTTGTATTGTCTTTAGTGGTTATAAATCTCTTTTATTATTTATTTCAAGTGCACTCTGTCTGCTTTCCGAGCCGCTGACTTTTCTTTTTTGTTAGATTCACACACTGCCCCAGTACACAATGTACCTTCAATCTAGACTCAAACTTACCAATGACTGAATGCCCTTGCACGGTGATGCAGATGCTACTGGTACCCGATCTCGCCCAAAGTAGTGGGGCGATTTCTGTCCTGTTTGGGTAGATTTTGAGGAGACCGCTATAGAAAACTTCGGGTAAATAACATAAAACCCCTAAATTTCCCCAGGTCTGTCGAAAACCTCCAAAGTTTTGGGGAAATTTCGGGTGTTCCCCAGAATCTTATAACATTGGGGTTTTTCCCCAAACTTTGAGAAAAACTACCATATTTAGAGTGGAAAACCCCAAAATTCCCTGAGATAGTGAGATTGGGTAGGTTGTGGGGTTTATTGTTTGGTTAAAATCAGGATGTATAGTATGGAGTTAGATATATATATCTAACTCCATGCTGTACATACGATACATTGATTGTCGTTAAGTTGCTTTGGCTGTCAGGGGTATACAGTGTTCTTAAGTGCTGTTAGATTGCTTTGACACTTTGTTTACTGTTCGTAACTGCGGTTTACTTAATAAGTGCGGGCAAATTTTTCAAAACTGTAACACGATTCTAGGAAAATATTAGGGAAAATCGCAGAATTTCGGGGGAAAACGCGAAATATACCCCAAACTTTGGGGTTTTAATAAATACATGCCGATTTCCCCAAGGTGTAATAAGATGCTGGGAAATTTAAATGAAATTTTGGGGTTTTGGTGCCATTTCCTCAAAGTGGGTCAGGTTTTTCCTAAAATTGGGAGCTCAGGTATAGGCTGCAGTTCAATATTTATGCTCTACATCCTAGTTCTGACTTTGAATTCTAAACTATGCGCCCTCATCTTAAGGTTAAACTACTCATCCTTAACTTCAATCCTAATTACGAGGTCATAGATCCCTCATTCATACTTGCTGCATCCTCCACTGGTTAAAGTCTCCCAATCTCCCTATTTTGGGGAGATTTTGGATTTTTTTCAATATACACAGACTTCCTCAAAGTGTTATAAGATTCTGGGGTTTTGTGCCATTTCTCCAAACTTTTCTATAACAGCTTCCTTAAAACAGGGCGATTGGACTATCAGATTCTACCAGCCTGGCCTTATAGTTCAGCTTTAATTATACTTATGTTTCTGTTGGTAGCATAAAATAAACCCATTAATTGAAACTTTGGGCCCTCTCAACTTTATGAGTAGTATGCGACGGTGAACTGGACTAGTAGAAAAGTCTTCTGAGTAAGTCAGTTACTTGCGCAGATTCGGTCGTCACTCGCATGTGACTTCTCAAATACACTTTGCCTCCTGAAAAGAATGGAATCATATCCAACAATCGTGTTTCTAAAATAGGTCGTACTGTTGGTCTTGATTAACGTCCTAATGTTGTAAGCTAGTGGTCAAGAGGGTTAATGAGTTCACTCCTCAAAATAAAATTAGCCTATTGGTTTAGAGATAAAATATCTAAAGCACGAAAACCCAAAAAGTACTGATTTATAGTTCGTTGTAATAGAATTAGATTAATTGTTTCACTCAATCCTTGGGCTTTCAGCATATTGCATTGCATCTTGTCCATTGTTCCGTCACGTCCTTCCTCCTTGACATTGGTAGTTCTTAAGTTCATAGGGTAATGAAACTTCTTTATTCGAGGGGAAATTTCTTTTGACAACAAATTAATTGCTCGTCACCAAACTTTAAAGCAATTCATTTTTACGCTTGTTTATATTATTTTGACCCTCATACGTATGCCCAACTCCTACCTACCTCGACAAGCAGTGTTTGCTGTAGTAGGGTTGGGTTGGCAAAGAGCCTGGAACGGCAAAACTAAGACATGACATCTGTTCATGAAACCATTGACTGTTTATCTGAGCCGTGTTTGCAAACTATCTAGTTGGGGCTCGCGTGATCAGTTGTTGGAAATTTCGGGTGACTTTATTCATGATCATTCACAATAGTGCAGATTCGTTCATTCTTTATTTTTCTCTAAATCGTAAACTACAGAATTCCTTCATACAGAACTTTCCACTTTATCTCTTCGAAACACATCCTCAGCATTTGATTTTTCTCTATACCATTGTTACAGCGTTATTTCGATTGTTTTCGCCATTCGCCCAGGGGGGTTGGAAAACCATGATTCCAAATCAATGGTGCACATGAGCTCCAGTATCCTGAGGGAACAAATGGAGTATGAACCAATATCTATGTGTTCAAATAATAATAATAATAGTGCATGTGTTCCAGGCTCCACGTTGTTGATGACTGAAAATAGAATTGAGTTAAAAGCAATTGTGATAAGTAGTCTTCATCTCAAGAGTCAGCTCTTATGTTACCATTTTCCTTAAAAGCTATTGTGCGCTTTATTTAAATTCAATTGACCAACAAAAAACCATTTCGAAGATCCATGACCTAATACAGTTTCTTCGTGACTAAAATATAAATGCAAAAAAAGTGAAAAATTTCCCTAACAGTAGCATTACATCTTTTTAATCATCACTTAATATTACCCTGATCTTTTGAAATACTCTATTTATACTTGACCATTTTTATTTTTTTTAATTTTTAGTTGGTTTACACCTGCATACTAACGCATCTTGAGAAATAATGTCTCTGATTAACTATCGATTCGCCCTTACAGCTTACCAAAGGTTCCAGTCAGTCACCTATGTGTCTCTAAATCGTCACTATGGAAGCTCACCAACACCATTGGAATGTTTTACAAAACTTCAAGAGATAGCTGATCATTGGCCTTGTGATACTTGTGGTAGAAAAGTGACTCTAAAAGATGAAATCAAACGTCGTGCTACTGAATTCCTTTCTAAACCAATGCAAGAAATAGATGCTAAATTTTGGGAAGAAGAATGTCAAAGTTTGTCTCGTATTTTTAATAACCATTATCGAGATATCTATCGACCTCCTTCCGTTCTTCGTGATGGTTGCACTGTACCAGGAAGTTCAGTTATAGCTGCGACCGGAGCTGATCTGATGGAATGTAGAAGAATTCTTTGTGATCGCGAAGATGGAGACAAAAAACTTTCTTTATATCAACGCCTTATTGATAAATTATTTTACTAGCCTATTTTTCTATATTTCATTCTTATAGTTTCATTGAAAATGTATGCATTAGTTTTGTTATGTGACGTCTTTTCAGAAAAAAATTGTTGAGCTTCTGTTTTTGTTATAATCTCTTTCTTACGGTTATGACCCAGCTATTCCTATTGCTTAGTATTCTTGTACACCGTTCACATTCTCTGTTGACGATGTCTGCTAGAACACCATATTCATCGGCTTCGCGTTTCACCAAATTTAGACACCGATATCGAATACTAAACAATGAGGATGACTCAACGAATATCTCTGACAATTGAATTACCGTCTCCTCAAAACTGAGCTCTCGAGGTAACTTTGGCAATATATGGTTAGTATAACGTGCATGTTCATTGCTTCCCAACTTACGTACCAACAGTCGAGTCTTCCGCGCGTCATCTTTGTTACAGAATTCTGTCCTAAATGTATCTTTCCAATGTCTGAACCACCTGAGAAAAGTATTTTCCCACTTTCGGGATCATAGAGGAATTCTGGGATGCTACTAGCAACTGCATCACAAGACGTACTTGAAATAGCATGTGGACTCGGGTAGTGGATGTTAAGCTGCTGAGTCAGAGTCTCCAACAACCGCATTTGTGCATCAAGTTGTGCTTGCTGTTGTTGTAGTATTCGGTTAAGCTGATCATCTGATATGGACATCTTGAATTTGTTTTCCTTTTTCCTTGTCACCACTGGTATAATCTCTTTCTTACGGTTATGACCCAGCTATTCCTATTGCTTAGTATTCTTGGACACCGATTCACTCGACAAGTCCCCAAATCAGAACACGGTTGAACAGGAAAGAGATTATATTCCAAATAACAAGGTTAGATGGAAGTAAGAAGCAAGTCAGTAGCACAATAGGGAAAACGTCAGTATATTTATAGTTTTTACATGAGAAGATTCTAGAGTGTTCACTATGTCTTGACTAATGCTGATTAGATAAGAATTAGCCGATCAGCGTGCACCAAAGCAATCGTGCATTGAGCATGCTTTATCCAGTCTATGTCCCGCTAACAGTTTTAATAACACTGTTATTAACTAGTCATCGAGATGCGCAGTGTACTCAAGAAGTTTCACACCGGAAAATTTTTAATATGAGATGCTAGGTAAATATGAAAAATTGGTGCAGATGGTCAAAACAATAAATAACGTCAGTCCGTCAATTTTAACCATCATATTGAAATACTTAGTTGGGTCATGTCTATCTGGTTAGGTTCTATACGAGAATCGTGATTAACAGTGAAAGACCTGTGATATGATTCAATATCGGTCATAGTAGCGTAGCTGCATCCATTCTTCTGTTTTTTCCCGTACCTCGAATTTCAATATAGTTTCATACTTCTCACTCCACGAAGTCGTTCCTTCTTGTTGAGCGATATATTCGATTTAGCCTTCGTCACAATCATGGACAGTATCATTACTTCAACTTATTTGCCATGTATCTTGTTCCTTTCGTCTTAGTTTACTGATATGGCGTGACAACTTCGACTAATCCGTAATTTTCTACCAAATTAAAAAGAGCAATAAACTGCAGATTCAAAATGCATTTTTTTCGTGGTAAATTGTTCGAAAACTAGCTAACTTCAACGCTATATGATATTGTAGTTAACTATATCACCTTTTTACTTTCTTGTAACGACTGTTTCTATAAATTTGCATTACAGTCTTTCTGACTATTCTTCAGGGAATAATTTCTCGGTTTGGTAACTTCTCACTTCTTTTCTTACATTTGGTCAACTAACTAACACATATCCCATACTATAAGTATGATTCATATCGCAATAAGTCGATGTGTACATAGTTACTAAGGAAGTTAGTTACATGTCAAACTATTTCTTGTTTTTAGAGTAGCCTTAAATATTTAAAGCCCTTGATATCAAGTCAGACTGACTCCTACTCAGTTCGGACAACCTTTCATTGCTAGTTACACAGTGGAATGCCAATTGTCTTAGGGGCTACGTTCATTCAAAATATCAGAATTGGAATTTTCACCTGTGGAATGAAGGTTAGTTTTTCGTTGTATTCATACAATTCTACATACAACTTCACCTTCCTTGTGAAAGGTTTTATTGATAGTATCTTGGTAAAATTGTTATCCGAATAATAATTCACAGCATTTTTCACGAACTCACATCATTTGGAGAATCGTTGAAACTTGAGGAAGATTGTAAGACTTTTTCACTAGACAAGAACTCAGCAGGCACACTTACAACTCTATAACTGAGCCAACGAACTTCTGATCTCATGGTAAACACGATACTTTTTTTACTTATTTTGCTTATCAAGCTCCAGATTCCTATTAGAACTTCTTGAAGCTGTTCCAGGATAAGCACATCATAACTGTTACTTGATGTGGTTTTGTTTAGTCAGTCCGCTACAACGTAGGACCAGGCACATATATGCATCGGTCCAAGTTGCCATACCTCAATAACACAACAAGATGAACACCGGATTCATAAAAGTAGTTAATTCAGAGGTGGTAATATATAAAAGAAAGATTGCAATAAGGATATAGTACAGGAAGAAAGAGTTAGTTCGGAGTTTGTTTAGATTTATTACTTTTTAGAGTGATTCTAATCATATACTTGTATCAATTACCCTCATATCATTTCGTGATGGAAATTGCCTACCTAGTGTACTAAGACTTAAAAAAAAACACGTCACTTAATTCAGTAGCTAGTTATTGCATCTTTCGAGTTTTCATTACTGCAAAATGTAGGATAAGTCAATATGATTAGTATTTCAACTAACTACTAGTGCCTTTAGCGTTATTTATTGATTTATTTGGACACATGAATATTGGTACAAGAGAGCGCCAATATATATGCGCCACACAAAACAATGAGAATGCGAAGAGAAATAGAAAAAAAAACTAAGGAGCTCAAAAGAAAAAGAGAACAATAACGAAGAGATTGGGGTAAGGTAGTGTGGTAGTAACGAGGGAACGCAAAGGTACAATCAGAAGATATCTTTCAGGTAAGGGAGACACAACCTTTTTTATGAAGAAAGTAAAAGAAGGTTACAGCAGGATCGTCACTGGCTTCTATTCTGAGCCATATCTGATAACGTCTCTAGCCACTGTGTAGCACCATCTCTCGGACCTCAACCAGGGAGCCGTGAAGGACCAACACAGGCCAGCCCTTTGCAGCTTTCTTTCATACCACGACACCATGTCATGCACTGACCACCTCTCCGCTTCTTCCAACCAGTACCAGAGTCGGCAAATAATGCACGACGTGGAATTCTCTGGGACGACATTCGTAGAACATGTCCAAGCCACCGAAGTCGGTGTTTCAAGATGGTGACACCAATTGCATTATCATCTCTGTGCCCGAACACACGATGCCGAACCTCTGCATTACTGACATGGTGTTGCCACTGGATGTCAGCAATCCTTCGGAGACAGCGATGATCGAACACAGAGAGTCGTCTAACGTCCTCAACTCGGAGAGACCAGGTTTCACAAGCATAGAGCAGAACTGCTCTCACCGATGCGTTGTAGATCCGACCTTTTACAGCCAGACTAACATCACGAAGGCACCAAAGGTGGCCCAGATTGGCATAAGCCGCTCTGGCTTTCACTATTCGTGCATTGATCTCATCACTCACACCACCACCAGCACTTATGCAGCTACCCAGATACACGAACTTCTCGACTACTTCTATCTGCTCACCATCCAGGGTGAGTACAGGATTAGGATCCTGCCAGTCTTGTAGAAGTACTTTGCACTTCGAAGGTGCAAAGCACATACCATACCTACGGACATTAATTGCTAACTGTTTAAGTGCGGATTGCATGGCTTGGGTATTATCGCGCGGTAAGACAATATCATCCGCACACTCAAGGTCAAGAAGTCTTTCTCCAGGCAACAGATCCACACCACCATTACTTACATCCATCAGAGCTGTTTCCAGAATGTCATCGATGGCAAAGTGGAGGAGGAATGGTGAGATTGGGCAACCCTCCCTAACCCCACTGCTCGAATGGAACAATGGAGAGAGGTGGTTGTATGCCCTCACTCTGCCTAAGGTGTTTTTATATAGGGCTTTTAGGATGTTAATAAACTTCTCAGGCATACCCTTCTTTAATAGACAATCCCAGAGAACAGCCCTGTCCAACGAATCGAAGGCAGCCCTGATGTCAAGAAACACTACAATTGTTGGCCTTTCAAAAGTATGGCGGTGTTCTAACATTTGGCGGAAGGTGAAGATATGATCAATACATCCTCGACCAGAACGAAACCCAGCCTGCTTCTCGCCAGTCAATCTTTCTTGGGCTTTGAACAACCTACGAAGTATCATGGAGGCCAATAGCTTGGACGCAATCGGAAGTAGACTTATCCCCCGATAGTTGTTACAGGAACGACGTGAACCCTTTTTAAAGATAGGGACAACTATCGACTCATTCCATGACGTTGGTACACTCTCTAGTTCCCAAACCTTTGTAAACAACGTCGTCAATTCCTTAGTCAAAAAGTCACCACCATCTTTAAAAAGAGCCGGAGGTAAGTCATCTGGGCCAGGTGATTTGTAACGCTTCAAGAGTTGGAGTTCCTTGCGGACTTCCTCCTCATTTGGTGGATCAGTCGTCATCGGCCATGGAGGGCAGGACAGTCTGACCGATGTTGCCGGAGCAGCAGGCCAGTTGAACTGCCCTTCGAAAAATTCTGCCCACCGTCCAAGACGTCGATGGATGTTAGTGATTGACATCCCATCATCCTCGCAGATTGTTTCACTCACACCAGACTTCTTGCTGCCAGTGGCTCGGATGAGCTGGAAGAGCTTCCGGTAGTTACCAGATGCAGCTGCTGCTTCCAGCTCATTAGCACGCTTCGACCACCAGGCTTCTCGGTCCTTACGCAAGCTTTGCCCAATTTCAGTACGTAACATCCTTCTTTTATGGTCAAACTCACGGTCACCCGGAGTAGACCGACGGGCTTCATTGAGTTGTAAGGAACCAGAAGAAACCCAGTGTTTAAAAGCGG